TATATATATATATACCATTATCATATACCATTTACCCAAACATTAAGAACGCTATTTTGCATTTATACCTATCTAATGTGGCCTTTGATTTGATTTATTAGACTGTATAAGACGGTCTAGTGAGTATACAGCCAGGACTAGCCGGCCTTGACAGGTCACAGACAGATTTAATTGCTCTGCCCTTTGTACCCTGAACACATAAAAGTACACAGCGTATGTTTTTCCCCTTGTTGACTTGCCCTCGTAAGTTGTTTATCAAGACTCTGTTTTTCATGTTGACCCTTTCAAGGCCCTTGGCACCGCGGATCGTCGCCACTTCGATTGTTAAGAGCGAGTTCTCACGGTCGCCATGTTATTGTAAATATTCAGTCATACGAAAAGGTATTCGGCATGAAAAGGTGATCGGACGTTAAAGATAATGATCACAGAGCACTGTTGCGTTGTCCAATTCATAGCCTCTAGGTCCCAGATACGGCCTGAATGAGTAAAAATTGACCAAATGAATTGATAGATATAGTCTAATCAAGGACGTTGTATGATTGAACGTCCTTGATCTAATATTACATGCCATTGCCAGGGGAGTTGGTACAGTTTGCCGCACCAGAACTGCACTCTTACTACAACTCCCCTGGACATATTATCTGTCTATTTAGCCAATTTCTACTCTTTATAGACGATTCGAAAGCCTAATAGAGTAAAAAAAAACTGATTTCAGTTGTAGGCTTTTCAGCCGACCACCACCGACAAGGATACGACACTTTCCCGACTAGTAGTGACCCCAATTTGTTGTCGTAAAACCTCTAGAATGTACCCATGTGCATGTAGAAGGGCCCTTAGGCACCAATTATTGCCACTAAGTATGCATCTATTTATAGCATAGTCAAACAAGATTTGCGCTGCAGGTCTCTTTTAGTATCTACTAGTACCTTACGTACAAAGAAATTTTGATTTTCCACGTATATGCAGTGCCCTGTTCAGATCATTTATCATGTTACACACAGCCCCCCTCAAATCAAGATTGTTACTGGTACGTCCCTTGATGTCCCAAGCATACCTTCCCCCCTTTATAACGAGATCATTACTGGTTCGTCCCTGGTAGTACTTTGTACGGTCTTCGGTGTTAGCCGAGTAGATATAAACATGTTTTCAGTCGCTCTGTGTTTGTTTCTAACACTTGTTAATGAATAATCTGTCACTGTGTGACAATGATTTAGTAGTCTGTGTTTGGTGGCTACCTACCTGGGTCATGCAAACAGAGAGGCTGGGAATCACATACATGTACTTGTATATACAAGTACATGTATGTGATTCCCATATCCACATACATATACAAGTAAGTTACAACTTACTTGTATATATAAAGTATATAGAAACTACGACTACGACAACACCAGATGTACACGAAACATAATTATGTATAGTATAAATATGTATAGTTCCTTCATGTTTCACATAATTATGTAATCATAAAGAAGCTAGGGCAAAGTATGCAAAGAATTTGTATTCTGTGTGTTCATGTGAGTGTGCAATTTATGTATGTTGTACTAAAGGAAAGGTGTGTTTTCCTTTTGCTTCCTATTTAGTTTTAGACAAACCAGCAGATATTTGTTTAAAGAAGGCGAAAATATGCATGTAGTTTTGTTACCCCAAACATTATGAACATGTCTGTCACAGCTCACTTACACGGCAGTTTACTTGCTTAATAAGTATCCCATTAAAATACACAATGTGGGCAAAAAAAAGAAAACAATTGTAGTCACCATGTCACATATTGATAACCCATATTCTATATTTGATGATTATGAACCATACTTCAAAAAATTAACAATACAGAGCTATATCTGTAACACATACAAGTATACACAGGGTTGTCTTGTGTAGATGTCTTTTATGTTTCATATTTTTTATCTTTCTTCTGTGGAATATACTCTTTACTTTTGTATCTGTGTTGCTATGTAAAAGCCACAAAGTCTCTGATGTAGAAAGAAAAGTTTGTAAGAAAAGTAAATCTTAAAGTGGAATATCAACATGACATAGTATAAGGGGAAAGTACCTTGCTACATGTACACACAGTTTCAGGTAGTGAATAGACCAGTAGTCAGTGTCAAATGTTCCTTCCATCCCTCTGTTTAAATTTTTTATAATATCTTTACTCTTTCAGCTTGACTTTTCTTTAAAATGTTTGACAACCAAGGCAATAAATTGGCATGGCCTTCTGACTCAAAGAAAAGGTATTTAGACTGTACGACATGCAAAGGCTTTGTCCGAAACTAGTTCTTGTTCTTCAAGTAAATATATATGCGATGACTTTTCTTACTACAGAATGACAACTTTTTCAGACTTTGATAACATTTATATTTATAATACAAGCTGCTAAACAAGCATATTATTTTCTGGCTTGTCATAGCCTTAACCATAAACTTGAAAGTTTTGAAAAAAAATGTTTGTTACTGCTTCTTTCTGATTGGTCAATGATCCCAACCAATCATAAAGTTCTTGGTAAAATCTGATTGGCTGATGATCACATGACCGTTGTTACTGATGCCCTAAATTCAGTATGTCGGCAAAACTTACTGCACCTGCGCAAAACCCTGATTTTTCACGGTTTTCGTTGGATTTCTTGGATCAGAATTTTGCCTGTTGCAGAAGATATATTTTCCGACATAATGTTTGGAAACTAGAGCTTGGATGTAAATCTTATATACGTGAATATGACCATATCTGCCAACGTGCTATTCACAATGCAATACAGGTTTCGCGCAGGTGCAGTATGTTCTGCTGACATGCTCTGAAATTCAGCCTTAGCATAAATTATTGTTCATGTTATCTCTCCTTAGACTGTTAGATATAACTTTAAAGACAGGACTCAGAAGTGCTGTACTATTTGATCTGTCTGTAGTGTAAGGTGAGGTCCCCTCCACTTTTCCAGATAAAGTGTTTTACAGTACGGAGATCCATGTTGGGGTCCAGAACCTGGGGGAGAAAAATAGGAGGAGTTACGGTTTCATCACAACATTTCATAGGTGTGATTAAAATCTGCTATATATCTATCTATCTATTTGTAGACTTAGGAATATGTGCTATCAGGGACATTCATTCACTCATGCACTCTCACTCATTCACTCACTCACTCATGCACTCTCATTCACTCACTCACTCACTCACTCACTCACTCACTCACTCACCCACTCACTCTCAATCACTCACACACACACACTCACTCACATTATCTATCCTTCTCTTCCTCTCTCTCTCCCTCCCTCCATCCATACCTGGTCCTGACACAGTAGTTCTATTTTCTCCTCTGCCAGTGAAGAAATGTCCTCTTCCTTCTCCTGTTCAGGTTTCTCCCCTCCAGAAGACGCTGTGTTCTGTGAAATGTTGTCTGCACCAAGAACCTTCTCATAAACATGCTCCATCACTTTTCTCACTTGCAGCATGTCACTGGCTGATAGTCGGTCCCTGTACAAAGATACGAGAAAAATTAGAAAGGTAACATTTGCAAAACATTTACCTTCACATATCTAAACACATTTATATACATGTATATGATGGCAGGAGTGTAAATCCCTCCTGCTATAAACTTGCAACATGATGTAATCCAATACCAGTTACCATGGTGACAGACATCGGGTTCAGGTCACTGACCTTATTTCTTTGGAGAAGAAAAGGAAGAAGAAACAGACAAGCCAAAGCCGTCACTTCTAAGGATGAAGTGGCACAGCAATGTAAGATATGTGTGTCTTCCAGTAACTTGTTACCTACTTTTTGAGCGTCTTGGCTCCTGATGTGGAATGAGGCTGCAAGTAGAACGGAATCTTCTGGAACTTCGGCATGTTTTTCTGGAGAGAAGAAATAAAAGAGCATTATAACAACAACAACAACAAAAATCTTCTTACATGTAGTCTTCTTAGAAGTTACGAAATGTTTATAAGTGTGAAATTCTTAGTAAGACTGATAGATCTTAAAATCATCTACCAGATACCTTTGACCCAGTGTTGACGTCAAACTTCAAAGAAGCCACGTGACAAGCTTCACTGGGTCAGTCTACTGAGGAAGACCAGAGTGACTGGTCGAAAGCTCTAGGTAAGAGAACTTTTTGTGTTGGATCAAAAGTTTTAACTTTAAACATGTAACTACCAACACAGATGAACTTTCATGTATTGTTCGTTCAAACATTCTATATATCTCATTGTTATCTGAAGCTAAATTAATTCCCTACATACAAGTACTTCAAGTAGCTAAATGTCCCTTTCAGAGCTATCTAATATAGAAATTAGCTTTCTTTACAGATCTAGAAGCCTGTATTGTAAATTGATGGAGAAGTTTCAAGTGAATAGTTCAGAATTTAAGGTTAAGAGTTTACAAATCAAGTAGCTAATGTCCCTTTCAAAGCTATCTAATATATCTTTATAGAAGCCTGTGTTGATTAAGAATTTTCAAGGTTAAGGAGTTCAGAATTTGAGGATCAGATTTGATGAATCAAAACGTTGATAACTCACATATACAATGAACCTTGTAACCCAGCCGGGTAGTACATTAGTTATCATTAGGTCAATAGGTAGATAACGCACATGTGCGGTGCTGTGGATAACCTATGCAGGTAGTTAATGAGTTAGTAATAAGTTAATAGGTTAATAAGCTTTTAATAGAAATGTCAATGACCCAGATAGGCAATGACAGTAACCAATTAATAAGTGGGTGACCTACATCTTTGGTGATGTCAATAACAAATGTAGTTCATAAGTTAATGACGGGTTAATAGGTTGATAACTTACATCTACAGTGATGTCAATAACCCAGGGTGGTTGTTAATAACTTTAAGTTAATGATCTGTATCTGTATAGCCAGTATAACCGCCTTTCGGCGTAACACACCAGCTTCGCAGGCACGCGGCACGGCAGCAGCTGGCTACATTACACCAAACGACTTGTTACACTTAACCCTTGAACATCTAACTCTAAACATTGTTTAAAGCTATCTCATGATGAGCTAATATATATAAGTTGATAACTCACATCTACAGTTATGTCGATAACCCAGGCCGGTACAGTATCGTTGAGCAGCATCCCTTCAGTCTCAGCTCCGGCGTCACGACACAACAACCTAGAATTACAGCCACTGAGCATGAGTGACCGGAAATGGATGTGAATGTCGTGTCGAAAAAAAGGGATAAAAAGAAAACCAAAAAAACTGCAAAAAGTTGTCCTGTCTGGTGTATTTTTTTAAACTTTGGTCTGGATCACCAGAATAAAATATCATTAGGTGAAAAATCATGCCTTTGTCAAAAGCACAAGAATTCTAAACAAAAGGGTAAGGGGTTAAGTCTGTATCTAAGTCTTGGATTTTGAAGGAGAACTATGATTAGAAAGAATACTATCCAGTCATGTACATGTACAGTGTAATAATTATTATTAGAAGGAGTACTATATTTAGAAGGAGTACAAATGTACATTAATTAACAACAGTACTATAAATTATTAGGTAGATGCTATGAAGTTTTAAGCTTAAGGTTATTAAATATATCGGTTTTCATGCAAAGTCTACTGCAAATTTAAAACAAATTTTCAAAGTCTGACCTGAAGAGCGTTCTGCCGCCGACTTCGCTGAAGATGACAGGCGTGTGTCCGGGCACGCTGAAGTACCCGTTGCCCTTGGTAACGCTGCCCCCCACCCGCACTGTCACGTCTGTGGTGTCTGCATTTCCGTTCAAGACAGCTGGGAGGAAAGTTTTGAATCATGAGTCATGACACCTTATAACACAACAGTAACTGTGTTCTGAAGACAGAACCTAAAAAAAAAAAACTAAGCCTACCTAACCTGTTTATGTGCTCAGGCCAGGATCTGGCCCCTTGTTCCCCTTCATCTGGTATCTCCAGCTAGCTCTATCCAAGGCCATAGTCTCAGATTCCCTTAGGGTAAGCCCTGTGTCACTTTGTATCTGGTCTTTCCACCTCTTAGGTGGTCTTCCCGGGGTTTTTTTTTAAACTCCTGGTGATATGCCTTATAAACTACGGTGATTCCTGACTTCTCAAAAACTGCTGGGATATCTAAGAAGAAATTCTGCTAGCTTAAAAACTGCTCACAGAGAAGACATACCGTACCCTAGACACGGTGGATTAACAAACCAGTGCCCCTACTGCCTGAAAAAGGCTCTGGGACCTTTCCCTACCTGTATTGTTGGAGTGGTCCTCCTCTTCCAGAGTGTGAGTTCTGGGCCAGTGTTCCAAAAGGGCCTGGAGCAGGAGGCCTCCAAAATTCACTAAAGCAGGAAAAAAAACAGTAGAAGAACTAGAAAGGCAACATTTGCAAAGCATAATGTTTACCTTTGCATATGGTCTGCTCTGTTAATTCTTACTCACATCATCATCTTACTCAAATACATTGTACATTCATATAGCTTTGGTTAGCGGCGTCCCTTAAGCTTGGATAGGATGTTAAATGGAGGTCCCGTGTTTGGGACAGCCACACCCCACGCACGTTAAAGAACCCATCACACTTATAGAAAAGAGTAGGGGACCTTCCCGATGGTTCAAACCTTACAGTCTGGTCTCTGGGTTGAGTTCTTTGAAGAGGTGATATGTCACCTGTCATGTCAATCCTTCCACTAATGTGGTACATCTTCATAAATAAATAAATTAAAGAATCCTCTCTAATATACACAGAAAAGAAAACCACAGACCTAACAGAACAGAAAACCACTGACAGCTAGGTAAGTTATGTTGAACTTTACCATTGCCTAACCTACATTTGGGATCAGAGCCGTCGTTGCTGCCAAACCCCACATCCTTCGCAGACACCCAGGCAGCAAAACAGTCCGACTCATCCAGGTGTATGCACAGCATCTGAGAAAAATTATGCAAAATGTTGACAAATTCCGCGTCCAAATTTCTAACTGTTGTGCCACAGTCTGTTTCTCTTAAAAGACGGACAAGATTGAGAAAAATTATACAATGAGTTGACCAAAAACAACTCAATTTTGTCCATCTTTTAAGGGAAACAGTGGCCTTGGAACCAACAGGTCTTGGGTCACCATGTCCCCATGTTGTGCTTTAGGAAAAGGCACTTTACACTATCTTCCCTCTCTGTATGGTGGAGTGACGCCCCAAAACACACTACAAGATTTGGTGCACCAATGCATAATTCTTTTTAAAGGGAATCAGCAATGTCATGCACAGCATCTGAAGAATAAACAGAATTCAGCTGTAGCACACAGACCTTTGTTTTGTTTGAGGTTATGGTAGCAAAACAATTAAGACAAAGCTGTGCCTTTCTGCATATCAATCAAAAGTTTGTGCTTATAAACCTGCCTTTCTGCACAAGTCTCTAGTGTCACTGACGAACAGTTGTGGATGCTAGCTGAAACGTCTGACCGTTTCTAAGGCCACACCAATTTAATTTGTTGGTTCTCTGATTTTTTCAGAAAAAATATGAAGCGACAGGGTGAAAAAAAATAAAAACAGGTCTAGGCATCCTATTATAGGCTTTAATGCTATGGAATGAGCCATGAAGTCAACACAAAAGGCTGGGTTAAAATTTAAACATTGAATTTTTAACTTTTTATCAAACCACTGCAATGATAGATGGGAAAACTGTAACAACTAGGAAGAAAAGGACTTTCCTCAACTGTTGGGGCAAAACATCAGCATTTTTCAGTTGATTCAGGACCAGAATCAATTTTTTTTTTTTTGCAAATCAGAAAAAAACGAAGAGGCGAATCCGAGAACCAACAAATTAAATTGGTGTGGCCTAAAATCATATCAGTTTACTTGAGTAACTGTTTTTTGACAAAGCTGTGGCTTGCTGTCTGATAAAATTCACATGCACTTGTACATGTGTGTATAAGAAAAAGACGTATGACTGTCACAGTATAAAGCAATAATACCATGGTTTGGTACACTTCTGACATACATGTACATGTAACAGTTACATGTACATTTGTATTTCCGAAAATAGTTTCATCAGGTTGGTAAAACTTAAGAGATAGGGGAATTCTTTTTACACAACCAAAGAGTCTCACCTCGCTGACGTTTCGGTGTCTATCAGACACCTTCTTCAGAGCTTCTGACTGGAGTACTGCATCTTGCCGCTATATGTAGCCGATGTAGGTGGCGCTTTTGCGGTGAGAACACTATCCCAAACGTGGCTTAGTTTGTACCCCCCCTCGTCCCGGTTCATTACAGGATCAAGGAGGCAGTTTGGATCAGAAAGTCAACCCCTGTAATGAACCGGGACGAGGGGGGGTACAAACTAAGCCACGTTTGGGATAGTGTTCTCGCCGCAAAAGCGCCACCTACATCGGCTACATATAGCGGCGAGATGCAGTACTCCAGTCAGAAGCTCTGAAGAAGGTGTCTGATAGACACCGAAACGTCAGCGAGGTGAGACTCTTTGGTTGTGTAAAAAGAATTCACCTATCTCTTATGTACATTTGTAGGCTGAGGAAAAACATTGATGAACACAAAGGCAGCCAATCTCTCCTATAATACATCTTGAAGTGTCATCTATGTTTGGGACACAACACCAGCAACTGCTGCCTCTGTTTCGCATGTATTGCATTGTTGCAATTTCAATAAATCAAATCAAATCAAATCTAAAGAACCTACCCCTGTCTTGAGGTCGACTGAGAACCAGTTGGGGACGTAGACCATCTTAGATCTGGCCTTGATTTCCTCCTCCAGATCAGCTTTGCCCAGATCCTCAACCTTACATGCCTGAAAAAAAAAAAAAAAAATATAGGTACAAACACACATAGACACAAGTCTATCACCCATTTCTTAAACACCCCATCCTAAACCTTGCATGCTTCAAACACATAATGCAAATTTATCAAAAACAATGAAATCAGAGGTGGCAGACTTCACCCCTTCAAAAATTAAGTGCCATTTGTCAAGTTAGACATGCTAAAACTGCACTGAAGAAATATACAAAACAGACAAGAAAACAACACTTCAATCCCTTGGGGGTTAAGTAACTAGTACATGTATAACTTCACCTTATCTGCCTCATAGTTTTCATACTGAATAGTTACAGAACCAATGATTTTCAAAAATAGTTTCATCAGGTTGTTTAAGTACAGGATACTGACTGGAGTTTCTGAGGAAGGTGTCTGATAGACACTGAAACATCAGCAAGGTAAACTACATGTACATGTATCTTGGTTGTGTACATGAAAACTCCAGGACCAATGAATCATAAATAGTAAGCTACGGTGAAAACACTACCATTTCTTTCGGAAGTAAGCAACTCTATCCTGTTTACTTGTCACAGTATACACCCAGGTTTTTTTCTAAACAGGGGAATAAGGGCACTGCTCCCTCATGTAACCAGCCAGCTCCCTCATACCAATTTTCAAATTGAACCCTAAGTGGCTACTCACACACTTAAAGATGTAAAAACAATACAACAATGCATTCTAGCATTACAAACTGTGATACCCTTATTAGAAAATCCCCCCTCGGTTGCTTCGTTCCTTGCCATGCTTGCGATCTGCTCCCTCATGCTAAATTTTTCTAGAAAAACCTCTGACACCTGTAAGATAATTTTTTGTTTTACCTTGAGCACATCCCAGAGCACCACGTGTCCGTTGGTGTCCCTGGACAGGATGTGTCTCTTGTCATTTAGGATGTAATACTGGGTAATGCTGGGGCCACCTGAAATAACAGTAAATAACGTTACACACTCAGTAATACTGGGTAATGCTGGGGCCACCTGCAACAACAATAACAGTAAATAACAACACAGTAATACTGCTGGGTAATGCTGGGGCCACCTGTGGGAATAAAAAAACTTTGTTAGTGACAGGCAATCATTTGAGATTTGCCTGATTGATCTGAAGAATAAGTGAGGGCCCTGAATGGCTCAAAGTTAACAGTTAACAGTAAAAACCATAGAACACAGACACATAAATAGTCAAATAAATGAATAAAAGATGGAGTAGGTTTAGTGCTGACATTGTGATAATGATTAAAAAAATCTGAATCACATTTGGACAGAAAAGTCTGACTCAACTGAATATGTGAAGAAAGATATCCAAATTAACACAGTCATTGTTGGACACTGGGATGAATAGTATGTACTATAAACACTTATGGAGATCTTACTAAAACAAACAAACCTTTAACTGTTCCCTCAGGCTGTGTATAAACAGGAACAGGGTTTTCGTTGTCGTAATCGCCTGACACTCTCGCCGGCTGGTTTGAAATCGGCCAACAGTTCACACTAGACTGGGTGGTCGCCGCCCAGATATGGGAGTTGTCTTGTGTCAAGAGTAGCTGTGATGAAAAAAAAAACAGAAATGAGTCTATTTTAGTTTGTACCAATACCATAAAGAGAATAAAGAAAGGCTTACTGTCACGAAAACATTTAATTAAAAAGGAAAGATGCAAAATTTGAAACAAATTCTGCTGCAAGGAAGCCAAATTGAACCAAAATAATATTATCAGAATCCACTCAGCTTCTTGAGTAATGTTGTGCACACACACATATACACATACACATATAAACATACACTGGGGACACATAAACACACACACACACATACTCACACAAAATATCAAGAACAATATCACTGTAAGGCCATGTTGATTTGATTATATGGATGACATCCTCCGGGAACCCCAAAATTGATGCGCGCGTGCGAATAAAAAAAAAGTTTTCAAAAAAAAAAAAAGTTGTTTTCATTATGTGGTCATGAGGGTTGAACAAATGGGACAGAATATGGTTTGGCGAATAATCTAGTCTTCAAGTTCATTTCTTTACAATTTCGTCTTTTTTCGTTTGATTTTGGCATTCTACGACATTGGTTTGGGTTTTTTGTAACTTACGGTATATTTTTGCTCATTTTGCAACTGTTTTGTACGATTTACAGTATGGTTGAAAACTTTTTTTTTTGGAAACGGCCGAAAATTCATGCGCACGCGGATGTCATCCATATAATCAAATCAACATGGCCTAATTGGGAAAAAGAAACAAACGAACATGTACATGTACCTTAACGATTGGTCCCTTCTCCTCACAGAGCAGAAATCTGTTCTCCGGGTTTCTCATGTCCACCTGTAGTAAGTAGAATGTCAGCAAAAACTAATAATGTTTCATTTCTAAAAAAAAGTACTATGACAATAATAATTATTCATTATTTTTCTGACACTTGGGGATGCTAAGAATATATTGTATACGACTATACCATTGGACATCTTTACATAGTAAACCTACATTTGTAAATATATCAAAATATTTGGGTGCACAGCTCCAAATTGGGGTGCACTAACTTTAACTCTGATATTTGAAGGCATGACTGTTTTTTGTTCTTTTTCTAACCCTGACCTGATAAACCCGTCTGTCTCGCCCACCGGAGTAGAAGGTGCTGAACGCCTCGTTGGCCTGGAGCGCCCAGACTCCATCGTCATGGACACGGTAGGTTGCTATGCAACGCTGCTGGCCGATGGACCACAGGCGGATCGTGCCGTCTGAACTGCCCGATAAACACTGCAGAAAAAATGGAACAAGACTTTTATTTGACATCCCAATAATCAAATGATTTAAATTTGCAAGTACAAGTGTCAGTCATCCCTAATACCAAGAGGTCCCGGGTTTTAATCCTGCCAGGTCACTGATCTTGTGCCCTTGAAAAAAGCACTTTACACAACTTTCCTGGATGGAGGCTTGGCGAACCCCATCTCGTATTAGCCACAAAAGGCAGCAGAATCTTCGGCTAGTTAAAAGCGGCTGCCTCAAAATGAACGAAGAAAGAAGACGACAGATCTGGGACTGAAGTAAACCTGTGTACATGTAACGTTATCTGTACCTGTTTGGGTAACCAGCTCTATCTTAGACATTACCTGAGTGCCATCTCTGTTGACCAGTAAGGCCTTGACATTGTCTGTGTGTCCCTTCAGCTTCATGAGTTTCGCACATGTTCGAGGATCCCACACTCTTAGCACCTTCTCTGTGGAGCCAGAAATGATGATGGTTCCATAGTGGTTCATGGCCAGACTGTAGATGGAGTCTTTGTTTCCAGTCAGAGAAGAAGCTGAGGATAGTAAAAAAAAAGGCAAGACAGCTGTGCTGTAGTAAGTTCTAATTTGCATATGACGGATAATTTGCATATGTGGGATAGCTTAATGACAGATAATTTACATACATCTGACAGCTTAATGACAAAATTTGCATACATTTGATGGCTTAATGGCAGATAATTTGCATATTTGTGACTTTATTGACAGGTAATTTGCATACATGTGACTTTATGGACAGGTAATTTGCATACTTGTGACTGTGTTATTGGAGGCAGTGAGTGCAGTAAGAGTGTTGACATCCCATAGGAAGATCTGTCTGTCCAGCCCTGCCGAGGCCACCTGTTCCTTATCCCGGGCATAGGCTAGGGCTTTCACATAGTCCTGCAAGAAAAAAAAAAGCACAAAATCAAGATTGAAATTTCATCATTTCTCATGATCTCTTTCAAAAATATATAACGGGGGAATGGTTTGTTGTATACATAAATATATATTATATAATAAATACAAAATTATGGGATTCTTACACTGTGATTTAAAACATACTGAAAATAGGCTCTATAGTGTCTATTTCTAACAGTCATTCTGTTTTTCCCAGTTGTCCAGTGATTAGATCATTCTTCACAATTGCAATAACAAAGGCATCAGCATGTTATGTGTCTTATGTCTGGATCTGATACTTTCTTAGATAAATTATTCTTCCTTACAAAGATTCATTGTGAAGCTAGACAAGTCGGTGTAACTAGTAAGCATGTATCAAAGAAATCCTGAGTTCCTTACCTTGTGAGTTCTCAGTGTAGACATACAGAACCCCTTATGTTCCTTACCTTGTGAGTTCTCAGTGTGGACATACAGAACCCCTTATGTTCCTTACCTTGTGAGTTCTCAGTGTGGACATACAGAACCCCTTATGTGCGTTCCACACCTTCACTGTAGTGTCTGAAGAAGCTGAGATCACTGGGACAGAAAAACAAGGCAGTCAGAGATGGCAGACTTCATCCCCTTACCCATATTGCTTTGTAAGCATTGTACACAATGTATATGACAGAAATAGATGCATACACACGCACACACAGACATACACATACATGTACACATAGTGACACACACACACACACACAATTGTAATTTGTATGTTATTGTAGACACACACAACAAACAACAAAGACTAGACACACACAATAACAAGCACACAAAATTGTCTAGTACTAGTATGTAAGACACACAAACACACACATACAAGCAGACACACACACACAGACACAGACACACACAGACACACACAGTGACACACAAACACATGCACAGAGAAATGTCTCAGTAAGACTAATACTCACAAGTTCGTCCATTACAGCACAGTACAATGTCGTTGACCCAGTCTGTGTGATGTTCCATGGACTGGATATACGGGTCATGCTGAAACAAATGGACACAAATTAAAGTTAATATCTGTGGTACCTTTACTCTATAATATGATGAAGGGCAGTTCAACAGGCTAACCAATGCTGATAAGGATATCTTGCTAGAAAGGTTGTTGACGTTCCATATATGGATGATGTAGTGTGTACATGTGTGTGTTTGTGTATGTACTTGTGTGTGCATGGTGTGTGTGGTGGGGGGTGTACGTGTGTGTACGTGTGTGTCTGTGTGTGTGTGTGTGTCAGTGTGTGTCTGCGTGTGTGTGTGTGTGTATCAGTGAATGAACGAATGAGTCACCTTGCTAGACAGGTTGTTGACGTAGTGTGTGTATGTGTGTGTGAGAAACAGTAAGAGAAAGAGAGAGTGTAAATGGATGCATGAATGAACGAATGAGTTATTTACCTTGCTGGAGAGGTTGTTGACGTTCCATATCCGTATGATGGAGTCCCTGCCTGAGGTGAACAGTCTCTTCTGTAGGAAGTCCAGCTGGAGGGCGTTGACCCCGGATCTGTTGTACTTCTCCACCTCATCTCGGATTATGTACGACACCTGCAAACACAACATGTGTCTTCATCTTCCATACTTTGAACACCTAAGTGCAAATGATAGATTTATATTTTTGATGCAGACAAACCATATATCACAAACATGATCTGTTCCCACATTTTCCATTGTACAAAAAAGCAAGAAGAAGTTGACCACTTTGTATCAGCTCAGTAACTAGAACACTTTGTATTAGCCTAGTATAGTACTCTTATATGTTCCTTATGTATGTATGTCTGAGTCAAGTAGTGCATCCTTTGTCTCCAATTTTCTATATACGTTTGTTATGTGTCTGTCATATCTTGACCTGTACCTAGCCTGTCATGGCATCTGGTATTAATGTACAATAAAAGTATTTCATTCATTCATTCAATCAATCAATTGTGACACAGACCACTGCACATATAAACAGCATCATTGAGGATATATAAAGCAAATAATACACTCAAGACACTTCGTCCTTTATTCCTTTATTCATAATTTGTGTAGATGTAGATATGCTGCATAATCAAATTTCAGTGTTGTATATTGGGACTTGCAGAAACACATACAGACGGACACACACACACATAGACACACACAGATAGACACATCAAAATATGATGCTTCACTCCCTTGAGGTGATGTTATGAAGTAAAATATGCACAACCCCTCCCACTTTTACAGCGAAATTTCAACAACAGAAATTCCTGATTCGATACAGATCCACCGCATGACGTAAGACAATGTTCAAGACTATAGCAGATGCTTTATGATTAATAGCCATTAGGAGAAAGAATAAGAGACGTTTTTATTTACATGATCGTTCAAATATTTGTACACAACGCGGAAGTGTTGTCGTAAACAACAAAAGAACACAACCGTTTGGAAACAAAAACACGAAAATTATGGCGCGAAAAAAACTGACCAACATAAGGCCGTATTTTTCGTATTTCAAACAAGACAAGCGCTCAACAATGGTATGCTACGATACTGTGATCTTTTATGAATAAGCTGGATTAAAATGATTGTATGAAATCGTGATTTTAAAGGAAATACCTGCACTTTTTTCTTGGCAGAAGCGCTGGTCTGCCGGTGGTGCACCGCCATCTTGGCACGAACTGGTGACGTCACGGAGTTGTGTGCACAACCTGCGTTCCAGGCGGGAAATTTGAAAATAAAGTACGAAAGGCGGGAATAAATGTTCGTCGTTTTAAATATATTTGTTCGTAGAATTTATCATTCTTTACTTCTAACAAGTACGGCATTGAGACTGGCTGAGTTGATTCACTGACAAAGATAGGACGACACTTTTAGTTTAGGCCACAGCAAGTAACTTTTATGGATGACATCCTCACCTGACTCCAAATCTAATGCGATAGGGCAAAAAAAAAAGGCAGGCCAAAAAAAAAAAAAGTTTCCTACATTTTGAGACCATAAACCTAATGTTAAGGCCACAGCAAGTAATTTCTATGGATGACATCAGCGCGCGCATTTATTTTAGCCAGATTTTGGGAAATAAAACAGGAAAGTTTGTTGCCCTCTGACGATGGTCAACATGCCAAAAATAGGCAAATGTGTCATAAACGTCTATCGGTTCAGAGACAATAAGGGATCCAGCAAACTTGAAGCACAATTTCTCTCGTATGATGGCAAGTGTTTAATCTCCAAGCAGATCTTTCGGTGGAGGAAGACAGTATCAAATTGGCCAGTCTGTATGCATGCGGTGGGGAAATGCATACAGACTGGCCAATTTGATACTGTCTTCCCCCACCGAAAGATCTGCTTGGAGATTAGCAAGTGTTGACAGTATAAGGTTTTCCATCCCATATGAGTACCCAGTGTAGTAGATGCCCATGTTGGTTCTACAAACTCTTTTCTACAATTGTTCTAGTTAATTGAGATGTGAAGACATTTATAAGGACAGGTAATACAGTCGAATACAGGACCTGTTGGTTGTGATATGAGGTTTAGTCGCTTCAATTTTAAAATAACAAGGTCTTGGTCTAAAAATGTGAAAATGTAGGAATCTTGAACCCTATCGCATTACTGATTTGCAGTCTGGGGAGGATGCCATCCATAAAATTTACTTGCTGTGGCCCAAACTAAAAAAAAAATTAAGGCAACTAAATCTGATATCACAACCAACAGGTCCTGTATTCGACTGTATTACCTGTCCTTATAAATGTCTTCACATCTCAACTAACTAGAACAATTGTAGAAAAGAGTTTGTCGTACCGACATGGACAGCTACTGCACTGGGTACTCATATGGGATGGAAAACCTTATACTGTCAACACTTTTTAATCTCCAAGCAGATCTTTCGGTGGGGGGAAGACAGTATCAAATTGGCCAGCCTGTTATGGTTACAGACTGGCCAATTTGATACTGTCTTACCCCTACAGAAAGATCTGTTTGGAGATTAAACACTTGCCATCATACGTGAGAAATTGTTGCTCAGGTTTGCTGGATCCCTTATTGTCTCTGAACCAATAGACGTTTCTGACACATTTGCCTATTTTCATCATGTTTACCACCGTCAGAGGGCACACAATTTCTCTTTTTTTTTCAAAATCAGGCGAAAATCAATGCGCGTTGATGTCCATAAAAATTACTTGCTGTGGCCTTAGTCCAAATCTCTTCCTGTTTGTATAAATATTTGCGCAAGCTTCCAATAAGAACAAGCTTCCATTTGAAGTCATCTGAGGTCATTTGAATGTTTCAATACAGAAATGTACTTACTAGTGGGGGTGGCGTAAAATATGTTTTCTTTTCTTTCCCTCAAAATTCACATGTATTGACATGGTCTTTATTTTGTTATGTACTGCTACATAAATTGGGTGATGACAAGACGGTAAACATTTCTATTCAACAATGAAACGTGCTACAAATGTCAGCAAAGAGAGTCAACTCCCCTGCAAATGGTTTGCTCCGGGCCTTGCTTTATTGTGCAACAAAGCACACTTGTGAGAATAAAACACACCTGGCAATACTTGTACCATGCTAACTGTGACACGCCACCGGGCTATATGATACTAATGGATAACAGTCCATTTTTAACGATGCTTGCTTCGGTATATAATACTAAAGGATAACACGGCATTCGTAATTATGCTTGTTCTATACGAGCGTAACTTGGCATGCCAACATGGATTTTCATACAGTGTTGCAGAAGACTTAGCTTTCTCGGTCAGTGCGAGAGACTGTAACATAAACTAATGTGTAAAGATAAAACGTAGTATTCAATAAAGGCGTGTATAATACTATAATACTAAAGGGTAACACAGCATTCCTAACGATGCTTTTTCTATACGAGCGTAACGTGGCCCGTCAACTTGTACTTTCCAAGCAGAGGTTTGGGTTTATTTTTGGCGTGTTTTTAGGCTTTTTTATTGCCGGGTTTTACCCAAAGGCTAACCCAACACTTTACATAAAAAAAGCCTAAAAATACGCCAAAAATAAGCCCAAACCTCTTCTTGAAGAGTAGTCAACTTGACTTCTTTACACAGTGTTACAGAAGGCCTTGGCTTTCTCGGTCAGGGCGATTTCGGTCTTGGAGGCGTTGACCTCGATCTGGTGTCCCATGAACACAGGCATCTTCTCCGCAGTGCCTGCTGGGAAGGGCTTGGCGAAGGTGTAGTTCGTCTGGACCACCGCCTGGTGGCGCTGCCCATCAGAGGTGCTGAAATGAAGAAACCGGAAAGGATCAAGGTTAAAACTTTTTTTGGCGACGTCTCAGGGAGGAGCCTAATGGTACATTATTGTGTGCAGTTTGCAAGAATTCTACGAATTGTACAGGAATTTTTTCCACAGGCATGGAATGTCTACAGGAATGTCTCCCCAAATCTCAAAAAATTAGAGATGTCATACCCCCGTGAGATATTAAAATATCTCACGGGGGTATGACATCTCTAATTTTTTGCTTATAATGTTCTGTTAGAATAACAGTTTTTATGTTTACCGAAGGAAAACATATATTCTTTTTACTCAGTTTCTTCCTCCTCTTCTGTTCCAAACACTAACCTCTGACCTGGCCAATGACATGATTTGTTGACGTCTGTCACCATGGGGACTGGTGTTAGGTTACATAATGTTGCAATTTCATGGTCTTCTCTGCTCCTATCACCATATACTCGTAATGTAACGTTGTGTGAATGTGAGTACAAATTAACAGGGCAGACCATGTCTGAAGGTAAACATTATGTATTTGCTTTGCAGATGTTACTTCGTGTGGCGTAGCGGCAGAGTGCGCAACTCGGAACCTAGAGGTCCCGGGTTCGAGCCCTGACATGCCACCGATCTTGTGCCCTTGGGAAAGGCACTTTACACGACTTTCCTCACTTAGCTCAGGTGTAAATGAGTATTGTCCTGTCATGTATTTGTCTCCTGTGTTAGTGGCGGCATTAATATAAGTTGAAAAAATTGAGTGTGCCATTACCACGTGGTGATTACATGTTGGAGTTAAAAAAAAAGTTGCTTCTCTAGTTTTTTTCAGTACCTACCAGAAGCTCCAGTTGTTGAGGCCTGTAAGGGTGCGGTTGTCGGAGCACATCAGTTTGGCCACGCTCCGGTCAAGTGAGGTCAGGCCGCTGGTCATGACGGGCCCACTGGCGGGAAAACCGGAACCAACCAACTGAAACAGAAGGGGGGGTCAGTTTAGTCTAGAGGTTGCTCCAAAATGTTGTTATGGTAGGGATACTAGTAACACAAGTTACACATACAGAAACTGCAGAGTGGACATAAACAAAGAGAGAGAAAACACACACACACACACAGCGTCACATACACACCACACTCACACAAGAGAGAGAGAAAGAGATGGAGACAAACTCACACACAAAGACAGTAAGAGAGAAAGCGACAGACACGAACACACACAGAGACACACACATACACACGCACATATATACACATACATACAAATATACACACACAATCGCACACATTCACACACATGCACACATATAGCGTGCACAAACGCACGCGCACACACCATACACTCACACACAGGCACACACACACACACACACACACACACACACACACACCCAACCACAGAGAGAGAGAAAAGGTGAGCGGACCCACCTGGAATTCCCCTTTGATCTTGCCGCCCTCGTATGTGTAGCGGAAGTGTGCACTCAGAACGCCGCCGTCCTCAAACTTGAAAACGCGGTTCACCTCGTACCTAAAATAATGAATAAAACGCCGATTCAATTCCAAAGGAAGCTGCTAGGGGGCCCTCTAGTAGGGGAACTCTACATGAAACCTACAAACAAACGAACAAACTTACCCTTCGTCCATGATGGCGTTTTTGAAGCGAGATGGCCCGTCAGGGAAGGGCAGGTACTGGTAGTATCCGTACCACAGGTTCGGTAAAAACAAACAAACAAACAAACTTACCCTCAGTCCATGATAGCGGTTTGGAAAGGTGAGGGCCCGTCCGGAAAGGGTAGGTACTGATAATACCCGTACCCAAGTTCGATAAAAACAAACAAACAAACAAACTTACCCTCCGTCCATGATGGCGGTTTGGAAGACGAAAGTCCGTCCGGAAAGGGTAGGTACTGGTAGTACCCATACCCCAAGTTCGGTAAAAACAAACAAACAAATGAACAAACAAACTTACCCTCCGTCCGTGATGGCGGTCTGGAAAGGTGAGGGCCCGTCCGGAAATGGCAGGTACTGGTAAAACCCGTAACCCAGGTTGGGCGCCACAAGCAGGGGGGAGAAGGGCAGGGCACCGCGGGTGGACTTCACACTCGTCTCCAGGGTTCCCTGTAGAAACAAGAGTTCGGAGATCTCATACAAGTCACTACAGACTTGGAAACACGGTTGACCTTATACCTTGTACCTTTCGGTGACCGTCTGCCATCTTCATCAGGACAATTCTGACTGCTTTGCTGTGCACTGACGGTAGATATTACTTGGTGTATAGTGCACTAAAGGTGTTACATGGTTCACAGTGCAACATCTACCGCCAGTGCACAGCAAACCAGTCAAAATTGCCCTGAGGAAGATGGCAGATGGTCAGCGAAACGTCGGCTCGTAAAAAATGTTTGTGATCAAAGAACTTTGCTATTCATTCGTTTACCAACCTGATGAAATTATTTACGGAGGAAAGCTTCTTATAATTATAAATGAAGTCCTATCCACTTACGGCCTTCGGGTTGCCGCTGCCGCCTCCCACCATGTCGAACTCCAGTCCGTTCACAGAGCCGAAGATGTGCAGGTCGTGATTCGTGGGCAGAGCCTGAAACAAAATTCAAAGCTTTTCATAGGTAGATACATTCTGGTTCAGAGCCGGACGCTTTGTCGTTACGCCACACGACCCGACAAAAAAAGTTCTTCGAGTTGACCAGGTCTCTACCAGGCTCTGGGAGGCGAATGGAATCTTTCCCATTTTCCGTGTCAGTGGTTACAGTACCGGAGCATGTTTCAAATTCTTCTTTGGCATCGTCAAAAGTGGTGAAGCATGATGTTTTTTTCAATAGCTACTAGTCACGTTCTACTTGTGCAACGCGGCTTCGCTACTATTAGCGTGTTTAGGGGTGGCTAATACGAGACGGGAATTGGCTAGTAGGACTCTATCTGGTTGATTTGAAGTGAACCACCAACTTTCAGATGGTAGTGTTTGTACTATCGCACACCGGGGCAATCCCCTACTCTTTTTGCGAAAGTTATGATGGGTTCTTTTACATGCATAAGGTATGGATCTCCTTGAACACAGGACCTCCATTTTACGTACTATCCAAGGCACGTCCCTAACCGAAGCTAGGTACTTATTTTCACTTGGATGAAGGGGAAAAAGTCGTGAAAAGTGCCTTTTCCAGGGGCACAGGATCGGTGTCATGATAGGGTTCGAATCCGGGACCTCTTGATAACGAAACGAACGCTCAACCATTACGCCCCATGACCCCACAAGTCATTTCCGTCCAGTCGAGCCAAAGGCTAGTCTGTGGTTAGTTAGTAAGATTTGATCACCATTGAAAAAGAGAAATATAATCCTTAGAAACTCTTACAGAGCCTTTTTTTCTTCAGAACAGTTCGGGCGAAAACCACTATCTTGAGAAGAGCTTCGGTAGAAATGAACCAAAATTAGAAAAAGGAAAACTAAAAAAAACAATCAAGAAATGCGACAAAGTTGTTGCCAACTCAAAAAGTAAGGATATATTCTTTAGTCAGAAGTACAGGATAAAGTAGAGCAATAGAAAACGGTATATTAGATGTCTTACCATGGTGAGCCGATGTGCGCTTTGCTCTCAGCGGTCAGGTGAAGAAGACTTGTTGGTTGGTCGTCTGGGAAAAGCTCGGTGCGGTTGTGGGCGCGTCTATCCTTATATACTCATCTATCCTCAACAACTGACGGTGGGTGGAGTCAGAATCAAAGGGATTCACCAATCAAAAACAGGATTCAACTTTATTCAGTTACGTAACCCTGATTATTATTGACCATAACAAGACTGATGTAGGCGGAGACAGAAAAGAGTTAAGCCAATGAGAAACATTTCCCGAATGAACTCTCCTTAGTGATGTCGCTCTTTGATACTGTTAAGCGCAAAGGTTTTTGCAGGATGTAGAGCTTGTCATGCTCTCGGATGCACAAAATTACCTCGTCATATCTATCTGCAACAGTTGCAGCTGAGAATCGGAAATTTTTTTAAATTTGCTTTATGAATGTTGAAATTATATGATAACTTGTCGTTCCTCCTGTTAAGCGTTCGTGTTATTTTTGCACACGAGTCTCCGGATGACACCTTTCAGTCAGCCACAAAAGAAAATATGAGAACCTGTAGAATTTTTCCTAGCCTGTACCAGGCGTTGGGAGCGGGTGTAAAGAGTAGAAATCGGCCAAATAGAGAGATCACTTGATGGGAGAAGTTGGTTCACTTGAGAGTACAGTTTGCCGCACCAAAAATGTACTCTATAGCGGACCAACTCCCCGGCATGTTATCTCTCTATTTGGTCCGTTTCTACTCTTTCCAGCCGCTGCCTGAAACCTGGTAGAGGCTATACTTCCTCCCCCTAAGCGTTGTCCTGTTTGTTTTGCACACGATTCATCTGATGACCCAATCTGTCAAGCAGAGATCAAAACATGCCGAAGGCGCGAAGTTCCTAGGGGGTCCGGCGGCATGCTCCCCCGGGAAATTTTGACAAATGAACCTTCTAAAATGGCATTTCGAGCATTTTTGAGAGGATTTCCAAGAAAAAAAATCAGAGATA